ACTGTACGTAATACCTCATCTCAGAAATATAGACAGTTACTCAATTTTTCTAGTTGAATTGTTCACTTATATGGCATATGATCCATTGTACATAATTAGGTTACAATAAAATTTGTATTTTATATGAATAATAGATTATGAAAATTGAGATGTAGTAGATATCGACCCTCTACACACACACGCACTATATATATATATATATATATATATATATATATATATATATATATAGAGAGAAGAGAGAGAGTGTGTGTGTGTGTGTGTTCAGTAAGATAAGTCCAAAATGTGAATTGTTCGACAAATATTTTCTTTGTGTGCTGTGTCTTTTCAGGACGTAGGCGATCATGACTCTCCACAATTTCCTGTCCTTTGTAGCTCTTAATTAATTGCCTTTTTGTTATCTCTTCTATACATTGTTCCGCCATCCATTTGGTCAAGCTCACTTTATAATGCGTTGTTTCATGTCTCTTCATTCTCAGTTATCTCCTGTTAATTTCCCTCTGCCTTAACTGGGTATTGAACTCACACTCTTTAGGTCCTGTCACTGGATCTAACCAACGCCTTTATCCACTGTGCCATGGCACAGTGGATAAAGACGTTGTAATAAATATGAAGACAAAAATGAGGACAATAGTCAATGTAAATAATGTACATAATACTTCATCTCAAAAATATAGACAGATAATGTTGAGAGGATATTGAACAACACATATATACTCACGTTGGATTAACCCACTATCCCAAGAGAAGTTAAAATAGGTTTCATGGTCGAAATAATGGAACTTTATGTACCAGCTCCTTTGCGGTGTTTTAAGTGCCAGAGATTTGGACACCACAAAGACTTATGCTGAGGACAACAGGTCTGTGGCAAATGCGCAGAAAAGAACCCAGCCCATACCGAAGAGAAATGCCAGAGAGAAAGGAGATGCGTCAATTTTCCTGAGAGCCACCTTGCGTTCTCTAGAAACTGAAGTTTATAGGAAAGAAAAAGAGTTGATGTAAATTAAACACAAAAGAAATGTGTCTTTTCCAGTCATCGAGAATGGTTGTCGACTCGTATTGGGAAATGTTACAAATGTGCCTATGTAACACTTTTAAAAAAAAAAAAAAGGAAAAAAAAAAAAGGAATTATCAACGAACAAAAAACTCAAGAAAACAAATACCGGGAACTGATAGACAAATTACTGCATTTGACTACTTCCCTGCCCCCCCCTAGAATGTCTGATAGTCAACTTCTTGAGAGCAACTCCCTGCGTCTGCTCGGTCTCACGTTGACTGCTGACGTGAGATGGAACAAATACATTGTGTCAATTGCTTCGTCCACCGCAAGGAAAGTTGGCTCTCTGTGCCGCGCCAGGAAATTTTTCTCCCCGGAATCGATACTTCAAATATACAAATCAACCATTCGCCCTTGCATAGAGTATTGCTGTCATATATGGTCTGGGGCACCTTCTGTTTACCTCGGAGTTCTTGACAAGATCCAGAGACGGATATGTAATATAATTGGCCCTGATCTGGCATCTCGTCTACAGTCGCTCTCTCACAGACGCGTCGTCGCCTCTCTCGGTCTTTTTTTACAAATACTTTCATGGTAATTGCTCCGATGAGCTGCTTTCACTGGTTCCCAGACTTCATGAATTCAAGCGCCCTACGAGGCTGGCATCCGCTCCCACCCTTACACTGTAGAAACTTTTAAATGTAGCCGTCTCTTCTACTCCAATAGCTTCATACCTCGCACCTCTCGCCTGTGGAACACCCTTCCCAATTACTGTTTCCCTGAGAGCTATAATCTCCAACTATTCAAATGTAATGTCAATCGACACCTCCAGTTACCTTGATCTATCCACTATCCTTCTCCTCATCCTTTCTTCTATCACTCCCTATCTGCTCTTGCTCCAAATCTTCTGCAACCCCCTGCATCCTAGTGGCTTCACGCCTTGCTCGGGGCGTAATGCTTAAAAAAAAAAAAAAAAAAAAAAAAAATGAAGAAGATTTTAAAAAAACACCTTAGAAATACTTATATTTCAAGAGGAAACACAGGAATTAAAAATGGACGGTGAAACGAAAGATGAAATAAGAATATTTCCTGCGAAGACTTTTCTAAAATAAAATTTTAACGATTTTCCCCATCCGTCCACCAAAATCGGTGAACAATGTACTAAAAGGATGACAATCTTTCCCCAAAGAGGAATATTTACACAGAGAAAATATCATAAAATTTTTTGCAATTTTTGTGGAATTAAAAAGGCATAATCTATTGGAAAAAATGGAGGTTGAGGATGTTTTATTTTACAAGGGTAAAAACTAAGAAATATAAAAAAAAAAAAAAAAAAAAAAAAAAAAAAAAAAAAAAAAAAAAAAAACGATAAAACACACGGACCCCCCCAAATTAAAATTATATGGACAATAAAATAATATTACTAAGTGAGTAATTTAAAAAATAACAAAAAACTTTTTACGAAAATAAAACCATCCAAGATTAAAAATTTAAAAAAAAATAAAAGTTGGAATGACCTCAAAAAATTATATGATTAATAAAAAGATATCAAATATATATTTATACATATATATTTTTTTTTTACCAAGCTATCGCTATGAATCTATCTCAAAATTTTGTTGGCATTAAATGACCCACTGAGGTTTTGATATGCCATAAAACAAAACAACCAACGAACCACGTTAAAATAAAACCGTTTTTAGTTAGTATGTAAAAACTTGAATGAACTATAAAAATTCGAGTTTGTTGGATGAGCTCTTGGGAACAGTGTCAAATTAATAAACATTGTGGCCTTAATGTTGTTTTGGGGTATAAAATATACTAATTTATTAGGCACGCAAAAATATTGTTCTGAGCTACCATTCACTTTCGCAATTACGAGTGGAACGAGACGTGATGCGTAGCTGAGGTTAGTCCAGGTCGACGAATCGTTCCAGATGTCAATTGTGAAGTGAATAATTACAGCGTCCCTGGTCTTGGAGAGATCAGCCACTGTTTATCAGCTGTTCCAAGCCTCATCAAGCATAAATAAGAAATCCAAATAATTTGATTTACAGGTAAGTAAAATCAAAGAGAAGCTGTTACCGAAAAAATAAGTGTTTGGTTTGTTAATAATAATAATAATAATGCTTCGGGTGATTTCATCTAATTAAAAAAATATACTGCCGTTATGACAAATGCAAAGCAAAAAACAAATATGACGCCGAGAGAGGCCGGGAATTGGAATTATGAGATACAAGCAAGAATTGGTCTTCTGCATAGCTGGGAAGTTCCCGTTGTTTAGCGGTTAAAGCAGTCAGTGCATTCAACCAGGTATCCACAAGGCTGAAGGGAATTTATTTCAATCTTGTGCTGTCTACTCATTGCCGTAGATTAAAGTTTGAGTAAAAGGTTGAGATAAAAAGTTACTAAAAAGTAAGCTGAAAGTAAATACGAGCAAAAAATGATTAATAATTGTTAACAAAGTTTCATCTAATATCCTTTATTTCTGATACTGTGCTGTCTTCACTATGTAGATTGATTTAATCTTTATAGTAAAAGTTTTTTGATAAAATATTTTTTTAAAAATTAAGATGTCGATAAATACTAGTCAAAATTAATAATAATGGTTGACAATGTTTCATCTAATATCCTTTATTTCTCATCCTGTGATGTCTACTCACTGCTGTAGATTGATGGTCTGAGTAAAAGTTGTGATAAAAAGCAAGTAAAAATTAAGATGACGGTAAATACTAGACAAAATGAATAATAATGGTTGACAATGCTTCATTTAATATATTCTTTGTGATAAAAAACATGTGAAAACTAAAATAACAGTAAATACTAGTTAAAATTAATAATATCTGACCAAGCCACATCCAATATCGTTTATTTCCGATCCTGTATTGTTTACCCCCTCTACTTGCCAATTTCACTTTCAGTACTGTTGTTATTTACTTCAACTACACACAATGTTTCATTATAGTACGCATTCTTCGGACTGCTGCCTTAACCTACCTGTGTGTTTTTTTTCTTTCTTCCTTAATCATTTTTTTTTTTAATCTTAATATATCATCGATATATTATATATATATTTTTTTAATATGTATATTTATTTCTCGATAATCCTCCTCACTACGTTTAACAAGTGTGCAACAATCTATGTCATTGGCTTGTTCTCACGAGAGAACTTTTAGTCAGAACAAAACAAAACAAAAATACGCCTATTTTTTTCATTCTCATTCTGCTATAGGAGGACATATTTGCCCAGATAGAGTTTTTGAAATAGCTAAAAAGAAAAAAAAATTATCTATCATATTAAATCGTTATTTAAATAATGAATAAGCGATTATCAAAAAAAAATAATTAAAAAGACATCTAAATATCATCTAGATATATAGAAATGAAAAAAAAATCCATCTATGACAGTTCAGTTTCAGTTCGAAATTCACTGTAGGTTATTCGAATCTAACAAAACCTATCTATAGGTCGGATCATATCGAAATATTTGTCGATCTATAACAACACAGAGATGATCTAAAATATTTCAAACTGTAAATAATTTAAATAATAATAACTGCTCATCCTAGAAATTAATTCAAAATTATTTATCTATCAATTTTGCGCGGATGTGGCAATGTTGGGCGTCTTTTGCAGTAATTGTTAAAATAAATATTCTAAAATAAATTAAAAATAGTTCAAACTATATCTGGGTCATTTTACATCTATTCAATAGAAATGATCGCATCTATCTATATTATTATTTCAATAAAAAATGATGAATTCTATCTATATCAGCCGGATCCCTATCAATCTATCTATCTATTTAAAATTTTCAGCCTCATTTATTATCTATCATATCTATCATCTATCTATCTATTCATAATCTTTATCATATTTTATAAAAATCTATCTGAAAAACATCTATCTTTGGTAATTCTCTATCTGTTCTATCTATCTATATATTTCAGTCTAAAATCTATCTATCTATCAATATCTATATTCTTATCTGTCATCTATTTCTATGAGTCTCTATCTATTATCTATCTATCTATCTATCTATTTCAGTATTTTTCTATCTATCTATCTATCTATCTATCTATCTATCTATCTATCTGTATCTTTTATCTATCTATCTATCTATCTATATCAGTTTATCTATCTATATCTATCTATTTCAAAGTTGTTCATATCTATCTATAAATCTATATTTTCAATAATATCTATCTATCTCTATCTATCTATCCAATCTATTTTTTTTTCATCTATCCATCTATCTAGTTCTAAAAATCTATCTATCTATCTATCTATCTATCTCTGTTATCTATCATTCTAAATCCAAATCTCAGTCTGTTCATCTATCTATCTATCTATCATTTCTCATCATTATCTATGAATCTATTTATCTAAAATAGTCCTATCTATCTCATATTATTTAAAATATCTATCTTTGTCTGTTAATCATCTATCTATCTAAAATTTTATCTATCTATCTATCTATTCTATCATCTATCTATGTTCAATCAGTTCTATCTATCTAAGTCTATTATCCTATCTATCTATCTATCTATCTATCTATCTCTGTCTGTTCTATCTATCTATCTATCTATCTGTTCTCATCTATCTATCTAATTAATGTTATATCTATCTATCTCTGTTCTATCTATTATCTATCTATCTATCTCTGTTCTTATCTATCTATCTCATCTATCTATCTATCTATATCTGTTTCTATCTATCTAAGTCTCTTTCCTTTCTATCTATCTATCTTCTATTATATCTATCTATCTATCTATCTAAGTCTGTTCCCCATCTATCTATCTAAGTCTGTATCTCCTATCTATCTATCTATCTATCTATCTATCTAAGTCTAAAATCATCTATCTATCTATCTATCTATATCTATTCTATCTATCTATCTTCTATCTATCTATCTCAGTCTATCTATCTATCTCTAATCTTTTCTATCTATCTATCTATCTCTCTGTCTGTATCTATCTATCTATCTATCTATCTATCATCTATCTATCTATCAGTCTGTCTATCTATATCTATCTATCTGTTCCCTTTCTATCTATAGTCTGTTATATATCTATCTATCTATCTATCTATCTATCTATCTGTCTATCTATCTATCTCAGTCTGTTTCTATCTATCTATCTATCTATCTATCTCATCTGTATCTTTCTATCTATCTCTATCTATCTATCTATCTATCTATCTATCTCAGTCTGTTCTCTATCTATCTATCTATCTATCTCCATCTATCTATCTGTCTATCTATCTGTTTCTATCTATCTATCTATCTCATCTATTATCTATCTATCTATCTGTCTATCTATCTATCTATCTATCTATCAGTCTATCTATCTATCTATCTCATCTGTTCTATTATCTATCTATCTATCTCAGTCTGTTCCTTATCTATCTATCTATCTATCTATCTATCTATCTATCTCTCTATCCTTGTGCCACAATTATTGTAATTTTACAATAATAAATATTCTATCTATGTATATTTGCATTATTTATAGACGGGATCTTGTCGTAATTTTTGGTCTGATCGTAACAAGATGTCAGCATAAGTCCGAATATAGATAACGTACATTTGGCTCCCCGAGGCGGTCTAATGGTTAGCAAGTTTGTCTCGCTAGTACAATTATGACCGAGTAGTGAGTTCAATCCTTACTGGGTGCCCTATACTTTCGGCCTTGTGCCACATCTAAGCTACGCTTGGAAAATTACTATAAATAACGTAGATAATGATAACTCCTCATACCAAAAATTTAGACATAAATCATTGAGAAATGCTTGAATCAATAACTAGCTGAAATATTGTGTGTAAAGCAAATATAATTAGCACCTTATGAGATATCGATTGAAAGTTAAATTTTAAAACAATTATAAGCTGATTGTGAGAATGCCGTCAGTTCTTCAAGTGAATGAGATATTCAGTTAATAGACTTGCGATAAAGGATGTTTTTTTTTCAAAAAGTCAATTCCGTTCGCCTCGCGTGTTTCATGACAATCTTCGCTAATATTTTTTCCGGTTCAGGAAATTTAAACAAGACTGTTTTCATTTTATAAATGAATTTAATACTCCTCTTCATAACGCAATTTTGGTTGAATTGGATGATTTTGCGACATACAAACAACTGCTGGGTCATTTAATGTCAGAATTATTCTTTTATGCTTGAATGTGTAAGTAAGAATAGTTCGGGTGTATCGGCGAGTCTGTGGCTTCGTGTTGTCCGAGTGTAAGTATCAGCCTGTAAGTAAGCACTGCCCTGGTGTATCGCCAATCTGTAGATAAGCATTCTTTGCGTGAATCCGCCAGCCTGTAGGTAAGCACAGTCCCGGTGTATCAGTCAGTCTATAGGTAAGCATTTGTTGAGTGTATCCACGAGTCTGTAAGTAAGCATTGTCTGGGTGTCTCGAGGAATTTGGAAGTAAGCATTGTCTAGGTTTATCAGAGAATCTCTCGGTAAACATTTTCCTGGTGTCTCGGTGAATCTGGAGATAAGCATTGTCCGGGTGTCTCGGCGAATCTAGAGGTAAACATTTTCCAGGTGTCTCGGTGAATCTGGAGGTAAGCATTGTCCGGGTGTCTCGGCGAATCTGACGGTAAGCATTGTCCGGGTGTCTCGGCGAATCTGGAGGTAAGCATTGTCCAGGTGTATCCGAGAGTCTGTCGGTAAGCATTGTTTGGGTGTTTCGGCGAGTCTAGAGGTAAGCATTGTCCGTGTGTATCCACCTGTCTTTTGGTAAGCACTATGCGGGTGTATCTGTGAGTCTGGGTTGGACTTATTATTGAAACCGTAAGCATCAGCTCGAAAGGTATCCCTTCTGGGTGAAAGGAATTACCCCCCACAAGCTAAAATTTCGACGTATTCTAGGCCCCGCAGATGTGGCAAACTATAAAACATGTACATATATTAATTAAGAGGCCATAACAGATGGCAGAAAATATAATAGTTAAATCCGAAGCCGCTAATGACTCGCAAAATCATTTTAATCCTGTAGATCGGGAACTGTGGAAATTCCAAGGGATTAGCTTATTTTTATTACTGGAACTATTCCTTATGGCCTTGTATATTTCATATTGCTAGAAGTGGATCATTTCACTGAAGCAGACATGAAATGAGGGAGAGTTAAATTTGTGGGCAGGGGACAGGCAAGCTGTTACAGTGCATAGCGTACGGGCTAACTAAGGAACGAAATAACACACATAAATATATATATTTTTTTACAGTGAGGTTCACTCTTTACAAGGCCCGGGGGCCACGCGAGGTAGAGGGTTACATTTGGAGGCCATTTGTGTATATAGGGGTGGAAGATCACGGTTAACACTGGCCTTGAACAGGTTAAGATTGTAAAGATCTGTTGAGAGACGGTCCTACAGGACAGTGGTTCGCGGGAAAAAGCTACTCGAGTGGAACTTACTTCTCACCGATGGAATACGGAAGAAATGTGGGAGGCTTGCTACAATGTAATGGCGTGTTCTTGCTTTGAAGGTTTGCCTCGGCGGGAGCAGGGAATGTAGTTTGCCGGTCCCACCGAGGCAAACCTTCACAGCAAGAACACGCCATGCCACTTACATATGATAATAACAACAAAAAACAATAATAATAATGATGCCATTTGAGTAAATAATAATGTTACAGTTTTGGGCTGGTAAAAGTGACAGCCTAACGCAAAATTATGGGCTATGTTCGTGAGGTATTACTAACATAATTTTGTTTGGCTTCTTGTAAATAGTTTTCTTTTCATTTTGTAAATAAACATTGGGGTTATATTTTAAATTATTGTTTTATTCTCCTCCCCTCAAAGACAATGAATTGTACATATGGGGACTAGTTAGGACTTTCATGGAGACAATGAGGTATTATAGTGGATGAAGTAAGAATGGTAATTAAGAATGCGTTGTTTTGGTGTAAGGAATAATATTGTATGTTTGGGTTAAGGTTTGTGGCTAGCTAAGTTTAACGTTAAGAAGACCGTCCTTTACCCGCCATTCCCATTTTGACCTTGTTCCACATTTCTTTATATAAGCGGGAATAAATATTACTCTTCAGTATGGTACCAAGACTGTTTGAATTTAAGTGCAATACTAGATTGGCGGTAATGTCTCACCAATTTACAATTGAGCTGGCTAGATATAACCGTAAGTTCGATGCTAACAGTTGATTTTCTCACACTACTCGCTTGTGGAACTCACTTCCGGCATTCATGCTTTCCAGTCAACTTTAATCATCAAAACTTTAAATTCAATGTCAATCGCTATCTACTGTCTTCCTGATTACTCTTCTATTGTTCTTCTATTGTTCCCGCTCTTTGTAATGTGTCTGCTGATGAGCATTTCTCTTTGGTGCCTAGACTTTACGAATATGAGCGCAGTACTAGATTGGCGGCAAGGTCTCATCATTTTAGAGTGGAAATGGCTAAATGTAACCATAAGTTCTATGCTAAGAGTTTATTTTCTCGCTTGTGGAACACACCCGGATTCTTGCTTTCCAGTTAACTTTAATCTTCAATTAAAATGCAATGTCAATCGTCATCTTCTGTCTTCTTAATTTACGTTGTCTTATTTTTCTTGTTCCTTAATAATGTTTTTCTATTTCTTATATCCATCCAAACCCAGTAACCCCTTATGTCTTAGTGGTTGTATTACCATGCTTGGATTTGATTTATTTGGTTTATTTTGTTTTACGGTATATCAACCTAAATTGGTTATTTAATACCAACAAGATTTTTAGGATAGGTTCGTACGAATAGAATACGTATTCTTTGTAAAAAATCATTTTGCTTTGGATTGTTTTGTTTTATGGTATATCAACCTCAATGGGTTATTTAATGTCGACAGGAGTTTTAGGATAGGTTCGTATGAATAGAATATGTATTCTTTGTAAGAAATCATTTTGCTTTGGATTGTTTTGTTTTATGGTATATCAATCTCAATGGGTTATTTAATGTCGACAGGAGTTTTAAGGATAGGTTCATGAATAGAATATGTATTTTTGTAAAAAATTTTTGCTTTGGATTGTTTTGTTTTTTTATATCAAAATGGGTTATTTAATGTCGACAGAGTTTTAGGATAGGTTCGTATGAATAGAATATTTCTTTTAAGAAAAAGATCAGGTTTATTGACTGGGATTTTTTGAAATCAAAAAATTCTAATATTTTCTTTCAAAGAATGTATTACTGGTATTTTTGAAATAAAAATCTACTTTTACACTTACACAGAGTTTTGACCCCAGCTTGGGGTTTAACTATTTCCGCATATCTGGAACCCTAACAGGTGCTACCAGCCATGGTAAAAGTGAACTTGGAGACAACAGTAATTAAGAACTGGTTCCACGCTTTTCAAAACCTCCCAATTAGAAGCCTTGCTGCCGGATGTAGTTTAACGTCATACCTAGGACCACTTTGCTTGGAGTGAATTTGATTAAAGAGAAATATGGTGATTGTTAAAAAGATTTGTCTTCATACGTGTGACCGAAAGAGTGACCGTAGTAGACTTTCGTCCTCACCTTAAAGAGTCCGCTTTTATAACAATATAGATGTGCATATAAGCAACCATAATTGACAGCAATGCGTGAATTTATGGTAAAAATGTGACGAGAAGACAACAAGGTCATATTTCATTGCTTCTTCTATAAATTCATGCGAGATCTAAGCGTTTACGCTTCTACGATTTCTGTTTGTCAAGATATCGTAAGTGAGGACACGACTACTTTTCTCAAACGAATTTAGGTAGGTTAGCAAGACAATAAACAAAAGCTTTCACTCAGACAAAACACAGTAAGATGAAGTCGATATAATTAGATTTCCGCTGTCGGATTCCATTTTGTTTTTGTCCTGCCACATGTCCAAGATTGTTAAAACTCTCTTTTCACCCCAATACATACAAAACACACACATAAAGTACGAACATCTCTCGTTCTCTTGATATATATATATATATACATAATATTAGTGGTCAATATATATAGATATAATATATATTAGTTTGCTCTACTTAGCGTATTGAGCACATTGCTTAGTTATTTTTACTTTACTCGTGCCGGAGGTTTTTATCTTTGGACTCTGAACTTTGATTCTAGACGATTATTTTCGCCGGAAGTACATGTTCTTAGTTCTTTCCTTTTTGCCATTTTTTATCCCTTGTGTATGGGTTTGTTCATTTACAAGGTAAAACACCTAAGGTTCTGCCGGACGAGTATAGCTGCTTATATTTAAAAAAATTATATATATATATATATATATATATATATATATATATATATATATATATATATATATATATATAAATTCCCAAGAGGATAGAATCCAGTTAGAACTCAATGTCCAGGACAGAGTAAGAATATAATATAAAAGGCTCAGACTCTAATATTCCATAGTTATAATTTATTGCATTGAAATCGTAATCACGATCCAATTCATCAGATCCACAAATTCATATATATATATATATAAAGAAAAATATACGGAAAAAACAAACAAAAATCCTTATGTACAATTATGCTGTTTTAATGTTAATATATCAACGTCGGACTTTTCGGTCTAATAAACCATCTTCAGGACATATTCATAAAATATAA